CGAGCAAAAGCGCCTTCCTTCACGAGGTGTCGGGTTTCATGAAGCTGTAGCTCCCCTTGCAGGATGGGGCTGGCGCAGTGATCCACGGTCGCTTCGCGGCCCCTCGTATGCAAAGTTGCTGCAAGCTCCTAGATAAATGGCCCCAAAGCCAAAAGCCTGTAGACCCGAATGTCCTGCCAGATGTGAGCCTGCTAAGGAACATCAGAACATGTCGGCAAACGCCCGGAGCCTGGTTCATACGCTGCACACCCTCTCCTGGTTTAGTGCGGCAGGGTAAGATAGTCAGATAGTCGTAGATGAATCCTTAGCATAAGGCCCGCTAGCTAGAGGTATCCTTACACGTTCCCTAAAACCCCATACCGCAATCACAAACGGGATCATCGGGCGCGCCGTCATAAAGACATATAAAGACACGCGTTCATGTCATGTTCACGCCAACGGCTGTGTCCAGAACTGTAAGAGCCTGCCCCTAGGTCTTGCAAGCTTCCAAGCGCCTTCAAGTCCCTCAAAGATTCCTCAAGACCTTTGTGCGACAGTGTTGAACTCGTAGACGGATCGCTATGCTGTTGACAAACTCGCTGATAGTGACGGCGGTTTGGAATTGTTACCTTACGCCATCAGGCTAAGCAGGTGCTACAGAAACGATCTACAACTTAGGGCAGCTGCTTCTTGCATCGCTTCAATCAGGCCTATGCGTGCGGTGGCAACCAGAACTGCGGCAACGTCATGACCAATCGTCGGACGCGCATCACTTAGTGATCATGCCCAGATGATTGCATTTCAGGAAGCAGCTATGACTAGGGTATAACTGCAGAACCTGTTCTGTGAGGTCCCACATCTTGGTTTGCTCTTTGCCTTTTGCATGGCTCACGAGAGTGTTTGTAAAGAGAGTGGCTGACTAGACTTGGCAGCAGGCTGTGCACGCACATAATGCCGGACCACGAATGGCAGCTTGCTGGCGTATCTCTATGTAAGGGCAGAGAGGAGCAACTGAGATGCACCTATTCCACCCTTTCGTAAGTTCATGTGCCTGCTTGCTTGGTCATTCGTTCGCCTACAGGGAGACACAAGAATAACCACCTGTCACATATGTCATACAACGCACACAAATGAATGCTCGCTTCAATGCAGCGGTGAAGGTATTCCTGTGGGTGTACCGTGCATGTGCCTATGATGTATGTGTTCATATGCACCAATGCATACATGCATGCATACGTACATACACAAACATACATATGCACGTACATACGCTGTATCGAACACTTTGATATTGAATTTCATGTTGAACCGAATACCGGCAAATCCTCGAATGCTGAAATCAGCAATGGAGAATCTGCTGAAGTCGCAACCTCCTTGCGCTTCGGATGCTCAGCCGACAGTTAACACCGAATGCCTACGGGGCGCTGGCTGCCTTCTCCAGCGCGGTGGCTTCTGTTCCTGGCGATGTTTCTTCTCGTCGCCCTGTGGACCTGCTTGTGGTCGATGCAGGAGGTGTGGGAACAGGGACACCTTGTCTCGAGGAAGGCGCGCCGAAGCACGAAATAAAGGAACGGGCACAAAGGGTCTGAAATTCGGGACCGCCAAGAATTTCTTGTTCTTCGAGGTAGCTTGAAGACTCTCCAAGCCAGGTTGAAAGACTGGCCGTGGAAACTGGCCAGACCTCATCCACTTTGAATCGAAACGGGAACCTGACGATGTCTGGCGAAAGGCTCGGCCATGGCGTGCTTTTTATTGTACGATCAGGCCATCAGAACTACGGATTCCGCGTCACTTCCATTCTTAGAACCTGGGGTCAAGACATCGCAAGTTCTCCGTCAGACGGTCTCATGGTCGTGGGAGACACAACAGTGCAGCATCCGCACATTTTCGGCGTGCCAGAGTGTGGAAACGATCACAGCCGAGCATTGTGTTGCAAAACGGGCCATGCACTGCAGCTTGCTTACCGCTGGCTTGATGATTTTGCCTGGTTCTTCGTCGTGGATGATGACACCTACGTCAACATAGGGAATCTGCGCCAGTCGCTGTCGACCTACAGTGCCTTGGAGCCCCAGGCACTGGGAGTTTTGGGGTGTGGGCCCGGCTTTTGCGAAGATGGCCAAGGGGGCTTTTGTGGAGGAGGCGGCTACGCCCTAAGCCAAGCTGCCCTCGGTGTGATCATGGTCAACTCCACATCTGCTTTCCAACTGGACTTAATGTCTCATTTGGCCACAGAGAGCGATGGTGTGGCATATGACGACATCAGCGCCCGTGGCCGCCTCACAGTACCATGTTCCTTTCCAAGTTGCCTTGGAGGTTTGAGGTGGTCCATGCATCTTCCTAAAATTTTCAGGCCCTGAAGCAGGGTTAAGATTGGCGCAAGGTAGAAGGAAAAGACCCTCCCTTCAAAGGTGTGGCATGCTTGCTCAAAAGGCAGAGAGTGCGCCTGCGATCGCTGAATGGGCTCTATGCTTTCGGATCTCAGAGACAGTGGCTGGACGAAGCGTATGAGCAAGCCATAACAGCCCGCAGCCCTCTCCCTGTCTCGTTTCACTATGTTGGCCCGTTTCTGATGGAGGCTCTTCACAACCGCTTTGCGAGACTGAGCACAGAAAGCCGCCTAACAGCCTTGCCGCAAGACGAAGACATCCGGAGCAAAAGCTAGTCCTATGCGAGCAGGGTTGCGAGAGACACAGTTCCGCTGCCTGCACATCTCCAACATTTAGATTTTACTCGGTTTGGATAACTGGACGATGACGGCAGTCAAACCACTGCACTAGTGACTGCAGTCTGACCACAGGCTCATAGTCATAGACCGAAGTCCAAAGCAAGTCTGAATTCCCCTCAGGGCTCCGCCGGCACTTTCGTCTAACGTCGCCCCTGTACGGCCTTCCACTGTAGTCCAGAAGGCCACGAATCCCAGCGCGTTTCCTGAGCTCTCCGCAAACAGCAGCAGAAAGCCTTACGGGCTGTTTGGGCTCCGGGGTGGGTATCAAGGTCACGTAGCCAACCCGGGAGCTCGGTTCAAGCGAGAACAGGGGACTTAATACAGGGTCGTAGTCGTAGTTTTCTTCAACAGCTCCTAACCCACGCCGTAGTCTCTAGTCCAAGGCTTCGTGCTGCTATACTACTTCCTTTCAGGGTACTTTCACTGTTAGGTGCTGGAGCCCCCGTGCTAAGGACCAAGGTCTCGCACCCACCCGGCGGTGGCTCGTCAATTTCCTTTGGCTAGGAGGCGCAAAGCGGTGGGGAAACTTATGTCTCTTTGCTGCTGAGTGATAAGACATGCTTTGGGAATCCCGGGCTCTCTTACTTCTCTCCATCAAGGAAAGCTTCGGCCTGGTTTCAGCAAGTTCACGGTAGATCGTCCGCTAGACCTCGGGTGTTTCGAATCGGGCTCTGCTCCACAGGCCGGAAAACTGAGCGTGAGAAGCTAAACATCCGGCCAGGTCTTGATGAAATCTGCTGCAAGCGAGGCATACGAATTCGCTACAAATTCAAAGCATGCGGCTGACTGAGCAGGACGTTGCCCCGATGTTTTAGGTCGGAAGCCCGTTCTTGCCCAGCGCACGTGCCTCTCTGAGCTACTTCATGGCTTTCTGGTTGCAGCAAGGAGACCTGAGATGTAGTGGTTTGTGAGCTAGACGTCTGCAAATGTCGCGGGCATGACAACATCGGCATCATGTTTAATGTAAAAGCGTGTCGGGGACAACGTCCCTCCGTTCAGTCTCCGGCAAACCTTCAAGGGAAGGTTGCGTTTCACCAACTCGCCCCCCCCCCCCCCCCCCCCCCCCCCCCCCCCCCCCCCCCCCCCCCCCCCCCCCCCCCCCCCTCCACATCCACCTGGACAGACCAGAACTTCAAATTCATAGATCCACAACTCGCTGTAAAGCCACACCTTGGCGAGTGTGCTGCTGAGCACTGAAGTATCAGTCTCAACGAGTCAATGAGGTCATGCGATGCCCAACAGCAAAGCTATGCATAACATGCGATGCACCGGATCGTGCAGCACAAAGCTTTCGGAAGATAGGTTCCTATGCAAACAGGTATTATGCCCCAAAGAAGACCGCTACATGACCCCGTAGTTTGCCTCTGCGATGGAAGGACACATTTTCACTCAGTACTAGTATTCGTAGGGCTGGTACCAGGAAAGGGTTGCCCTCCGTTTGTTGAAGTTGCTTGATCTATGCTTAGGTTCGGAATGCATCTATAGAGGCATGCGGCTCAACCCTTTCACGGGCGAAGCAAGAATTGAATTGCACAAGCGAGTGGAGCGCAGAAAGAGCGTCAACTCATGGAGCTGCTAGAATCTTCTCTGGACCCTCCGGATCCAGAAGAAAGCGCTTTTTATCCAGACTATCCCAGGCAGAGCAGAATGTCGCGCTAAGTGAGTAAGAACAATAGCTACAATAGCCGTTCAATGGTAGTGTGAATTTATGGAATGAGTATGGATATTTTCTAGTAGTCGACCCTAAGCTCCAAACCTCGACCCTAAATCCTGAATCCTAAACCCTATAGGCCCTATGACCCTACATAACCACAGACCCGTAAACCCTGTGACCCGATAAACCTGCTAGCCCAGTAACGTCAAGGGGTGGGGCGGCAGGGTAGAGCCCCAGGGTTGCCAGCTCTTGTCTCGAATTCTGAAGATTCAAACAAGCTCGGCAATAATTCAGTTTCATACGTTAAGTTTAGTATACCTAAGTTCCAGAATCAAGGTTGTGATGACAAAAACAAAGATCGGAATAATGATACTAGTAACAAGAACAATAATCAGCCTTGCCTCCTAGACGGGGGGTCCGTACATTATGCAGAACATCGCGCCCAAAGCCTTATTCTGATCATTATGGTTTCTGTACTTAGTCGTCAGGTGCTCGTCAATGGCCTCCTTTGCGATTGTGATTTGCTTTCTATAAGGGTCCTAACTTTGTATATAGCGGTTTCTTTGTGATGGCATTCGTTGCTACATGGTCGTACATAGTTATAAAGCAGCTAGTACAGGGTCAACATCCGGCTTGGCCGAGGTGGCTGAATGTGGCGATTGGGAGAGGCGCCAGTTGGTAAGCAGCATGCACGCGTGATTGCTTTGTTCCGCTGCTGTTAAACGGACCGGAACCAGGCCCACAAAACAACCGTACGGCTTCATAATGTCGAACCGAAGTGCGATTGTTCTCTCACAATTCACAGAGTGCAGCATACACTTAGTTATGTGTTATGTGATAAGATTAAAAACGCTGCGCTTGAGGCGAAACCGTATGTAAAGCTTAACAGTGCTAGAAGACAACTCGCGTCAGGCAATCATCGTCTCTTCGTCTTGCTCTCCTTCTTGGAGGTGCGGAGCTTGTACCCTTCAGTGCGGGGATTTATGTAAGTAAGTAGAGTTTGACGGCGAGATTTCGGAACGAAGAAGGAACCTCAAGCCCTAAAGCACCATCAATGAAGATGAAGGTGTGAACCCTCCCATCCCGTGGCGCGTGTTTGATTTCCTCACATCGTCACCTTGGCTCAAGTACCGTACACCTCAGTGCCAGCACGCATGTTGGTGTCCGCAGCTTGAGGACAAGATGCTTCGTGTTTGGCGCTTTTCGGGAGAGCTGCTCGCAGACGTGTCGACAGATACCTTCAAAGACGTCAGGGCGTTGAAGGACCACTTGTGCAAGTTACATGGCTTCCCGATATGCACTCAGCGTCTTGTTCATGACGGCTGTATCTTGGACGATGCGACCCGGGTTGACAAGCCAATCGATGTGCAGCTGGTGCTCGAGAGCATATCCGTGCCCTACGTTACTCTGCAACTGGCCAACGAGTTGATATCTGAGGCCAGGCGGGCAAATACACAGGGTGTACGCCAGCTGTTGGACGCTGGCGCAGCCAAGGATTCGAACGACGACACTGGTTCAACGGCCGTTGCCTGCGCCTCAGCACAAGGCCACTTGGAGACCGTAGATGTGCTCCTGAAGGCCGGTGCTGACCAAGATTTGCCAGACTGGAGGGGCAACACAGCCATAGTTCTGGCGTCTGCAAGTGGCCACGTGGAGGTTGTGCGCTTGCTGCTTGCCGCTGGCGCCGAGATGGATTGGCAGGCAAGTGATGGCACCACTGCACTTAGTTGCGCGGCTGTCAACAACCATGTCCAGACGGCTCGCTTGCTGCTGGAAGCTGGTGCTGACAAAGACTTGGCAGACAATAATGGCAACACCCCTCTTATTCGTGCGTCTGGCGGCGGCCACGCTGACATCGTGCAGCTGTTGATGGCTGCAGGTTCTGACAAGGATCAGCAGGCACGCAATGGCACTACTGCTCTGATTTGTGCATCGGGGGGAAATCATGCAGCCGTTGTTCGTCTGTTGGTGAAAGCGGGTGCAGATGCAAACGCACGAGACCACAATGGAGAGACAGCTCTTCATTTTGCATCACGTCTTGGCTGCCGAAGGACCGTGCGCATGTTGCTAGAGGCAGGTGCTCAAGGAGAAGTGCAGTCTGGCACGGGCAACACCCCTTTCTTCTACGCCTCCGTCAGTGGCCACCTTGAAACTGCATGTTTGCTTTTGGAGTTTGGGCATGCCAACAAGGACCTGGAGCTCCTCTCTGCAGCAGCAGAGGGTCATTCCGAGACATTGCAGATGTTGTTGCAAGCTGGTGCGGACAAGGACGTGAAGAACAACAATGGCGAAAGCGCTTTGCACCTCGCAGCGTATGGCGGGCATCATCAAGCCGTAGGCTTGCTGTTGGAAGCTGGTACCAGCCGAGACTTGCAAAGCCGGAATGGCGACACCCCTCTTATAAATGCGTGTCACGGCGGTCATACTGAAAGTGTACGGTTGCTGCTGGAAGCGGGTGCTGACAAAGATTTGGGATCTTACTCTGGCAGTAGTCCTCTTGTTGTTGCATGTGTCGGCGGTCACGTTGAAACTGCTCGCATGCTATTGGACTCGGGTGCTGGTCAGGAGTTTGCACTCTTGCGCGCATCTGCAGAAGGCCAGGTTGAGGTTGTTCGCTTACTTTTGGAGGCCAGTGCGAACAAGGATGCGAAGGACGTCCGAGGTCGGACTGCCCTCCACCGTGCTGCTTCCCGCGGACAGTCTGAAACAGTTCGCTTGCTGCTGGCAGCTGCTGTTGATATAAACGTGCAAGACAGCACAGGGGCAAAGGCAATCGCACTCGCGCTTTTGAACCATCACCGCAAGACCGTGCGCTTGCTTCGTGGCTATATTTGCTCGCCGGGTAGTGCAGCAGCCGGGCTCAGTGCAAGTTAAAAGTGAGAGTGAGAATAAGACGGTACATGGGGCAAGCAGCGGAGAGCGCAGGCTTCGGGAGAAATTGAAGGCTGATCGGGTGTGTAGAGACCCGGACAAGGTTGCCCGGAGATCTGGGAACTTGTGTTGCTCGCCTGTGTTGACTCACGGCTATTTAGCCAATAGCTAATTAAGCATCCAGGACGTTAGACACTAAGAGCGATAGGAAGGTTACATGGGGATTTCAAGACATGCGGAAGAACCCAAGAGACCGAACAGTGTGCCCCTGTCACGACTTTACAGTAGGCGATTGCCAAAGTCGCCAGCACGTTGGATGTTACCATGAACTCGGCCCCCCCGGCGGGCGGTTATTAGGACTCTAGGATGTTTGATAGGTGGCAGTTCACGCATACTGCAGCGACCCTGAACTCGGAGCCGCGCAACTCCCAAACCCAACTACCCTGTATCATCCAAACCCCAAGCCTCAAGCCCTGTACAAACACTCGAAAGAGAGTGGCACCAGTAAGAGCATGAGTAACTTAAAGTGAGCATAACGCCCACCCTGAACCGCATACAGTAATTACTTGCTGTGCCCAGTTGAGCGTCCAGTGGCTGCACTTGGCCCTTTGCATCGCCTTTGCTCGCAGCGCTGTGGTGGGAAGTAGGCTCGGCTGCTGTGGTGGGGTTGGTGGCTGTGCACACACGTATTTGTTCTCCTTCGAGTAAGCCGAGCAGCAAAGGTGTTCATTGATTTGATGTGTTCGTTTGTTGCTACTTCGTTTGCATTCGTTTCTGTGTGTTCTTCGGTTGATTATGACTACATGTTGTCGGGGTAGGAGGTGGTAAAGCCAAGCACCACTCGCTGTCAGCATTCCCCGCAATAGCAGTAATTATCCAGACAAGTGCGGGAGTAGCAGCATTAGCAACACTGGGGCTGCAGCTGCAGGTGGTTGCAGCAAAGAATGCAATGCGAGTGGCAAGAGTAGTGTTTATCAGTGAGCTTAGCCGTGTGGATCGAAACCAGCACCCGCACTCGACAGTTGGACCGGCTGGCTCTACAACCTGGTACGGTGCTCGGCCTGTCAGTGCTCAGCGTGATTTGACAAGCTCGGGTATGATTCAAAATGCGAGGCCTACGTCAGTATGGAGGCTGTCAGTAGAAAATTGCATTTGACTGCTCGGATACAGTGAGATGATCTAAAAGTCATTGCGCCATGGAGCTTTAGGTTGTTAGGGCCAATCATTAGTTCGATCCAGGCTGATACATTCCAGCTCAGAGCCGAATTTCTGTCATGTAAAGCAGTGCCTCCTGAGACGCTTTTGTCCGATACATGGCGGATTTCGGTGTGCTGGATTTGCTGAGGGAGTGTGTAAGCAATGTGTGGAAGCCACGTCGAACCGGAAACCCGAATTCCTGCAATGGTCCTTTGCAGAGATGTAGAAGGCTTGGGTTGGCCACGGGCAAAACACTGAGGCTACTGTTCTTTGAAGTTCTTTGAGGCTGCACGGCGAGGTATCTATTTCGCTTCGAGCCTGTTATCTGAAGCAGAGTTTTGATGGTAGCACAGGTCTTTTGGATTCATAGGCTCAAGATGCACACAGCAGTATTCTGGGTAAGACCTCTATATTACACTACTCTCGCTTGTCTGATGCTTCTGATACTGATGCTGTTTCGAAACACACCAAAACCCCGAACCCAAACCTGCCTCCCTAAACGACCCTAAACCCTACGCCAAAATTCCCAGGCAATGCAGTTTCCTTTGCTGGTCTTTGTGGCGGTCTTGGGCAAGCTGTGGTTTAGGATTTTTGAGGAGTCGTTCGATCCTCAGGACTCAAGCTTTTCAGGGTATCGAGGTGCATATCTGCGGGACCGAGCAGTGCCTGAAGTTTGGCACGCATGCGTGTACGCAGTTTCGGGTTTAGGGTTTCCTGTCCCTCCTCTTGCACTGAAGTGGGAGGAAGGAAGGAAGCACGACATAACATGTCCAGTGTGCCTGAGCGGCCGGGAAATACCTCTGACCAACTCTCTTGGACTCCACTGCGACCTGCCCAGTTTGCGAGGTTTTGTTGTATTGATTTTCGTGACAGGTACAACTGTGATAATTGCTATTGTCAAAAAGCTTCGTTGCATTCTGTCTTTGCAGCGGGTTACGAGGTTCTGCTGATGCATGGCTTCTCTTCGCCAGTGGCGCTCTCAAAGTGCGTTTCCACGTGGAAACTCATGCTGTTGTGCAGACGGTCACGGGATCACGGTGAATTTGTTACTCGAGTCGTGGAACGCCAGCTGACAACGAAGCAATCCTGCATACATGCGCCTGCAGTTGACGCAATGTGGTGCGTTCGCGATACTGAAACTTCGGCCTGGTAATGATCGGTGGCACCAGCACAGAATTTGTGCTTTCTGTCCAGCTCAAAAGACCCATGCTCCGGAGAATCGACATCCACATTCCAGATCCTAGCCCGCAGCGGCTAGTGACAAGGTCCACATCGGAGTGTAAACTTCGGCTTGACAAGGCTCTGAATCCCAATGCCATACCTGCTGTCCCAGGGCATCTTCTTCTTGCTCGTCAACCACCTCTACCTCATAGCGATCAACATGACGACCAATGAGATGGCACTTCCGGCTGGCACTTGATGCTTTCTTGTCACCACGGATGCCGCAGGAACAACAATCCGCCCAATGTTTGCTCCTGCGACCACTACTACTATCTCAGTCAGCATCACTACAACGACAACTGCAACTAATCAAAGTATGAGTCACAACCGGCAGTGCAACTTTTTCTACCACAGACTGCCACTACTGCCACTACTGCTGCTGCTGCTGCAACAACAATAACTACTGCTGCTACTCCTGCTACTGCTACTACAGTACTACTACTACTACTACTACTACTACTACTACTACTACTACTACTACTACTACTACTACTACTACTACTACTACCACTACACTACTACCACTACCACTACCACTACCACTACCACTACCACTACTACTACTACTACTACTACTACTACTACTACTACTACTACTACTACTACTACTACTGCTGCTACTACTACTACTACTCCTACTACTACTGCTACTTCTACTCCTACTCCTACTGCGACTGCTGCTGCTACTACTACTACTGCTCCTACGACTACGAAAGCACAAGCAGCAAAAACAACCACAGCAACAGCAACAACAGCAGCAGCAGCTGCAACAACAACAACAGCAAAAGCAACAGCAGAAACAGCGACAACATCAACAACAACAACAACAACACCACCAACAACAACAACAACAGCAGCAAAACCAACAGCAACGACGACGACGACGACGACAACCGCAACAACAACGACAACAACAACAACTACTACTACTACTGCTACCACTACTACTACTACTACTACTACTACTACTACTACTACTACTACTACTACTACTACTACTACTACTACTACTACTACTACTACTTCTACTACTACTACTACTACTACTACTACTAGTGCTAGTGCTACTGCTACTGTTACTGCTCCGAAAGCAGTAGTGGCAACAAACAACTACAGCAACAGCAACAACAACAACAATGGCAGCAAACAAAGCGACAACAACCACAAAAACAAATACAACTGCAAGTGCAACTACGACTACTGCTGCTACTGCTACTGCTGCTGCTGCTGCTACTACTACTACTACTACAGCTACTGCTGCTGCTGCTGCTGCTGCTACTACTACTGGTACTACTGCTACTACTATTCTTCTGATTACTACCAATACTGCTGCTATGGCGACCGCTGCATGGAGAGATATTCGACATGCCCGTATGGCGGTCACGCGGCCAAACAACGCTGAGGATAAGGAGCTCGCCGACTGGGGTGGAAGCTTAGCCATTCTTGTACGGCAATCGACTCGCGCTTCTTCGATGCTTGCCGCTGCCTGGGTATACGGAAAAGTGCCCTGGGCCCAACACTCCGCAAAAGAACTTGGCTTGCGAAACTTGCGTGCTACACCCATTTGGCCACCATTCCGCCGGTGCTATGGCAGATGAACAAAGATCGCTACCAGCACTTCTGGCAGGAGGCAGCCAGGGTCTCAAGTCAGCTTAATAACCAAAGAGGAACAGTAGCAGATGTTGTAAAATGCTAGCAGTAGCCGTAACGGTAGCAGCAGTACTGGTAGTGGTGGTAGTAGTAGTAGGAGTCGTCGTCGTAGTAGTACATAGTCGTCGTAGTAGTAGTAGTAGTAGTAGTAGTAGTAGTTGTAGCAGCCGCCGTCGTCGTCGTCTTGTAGTAGTAGTTGTTGTTGTTGTTGCTGTTATAGGAAAGGAGCAGAAGTAGCTGTATCAGCAGAAGTAGAACTTGGAGTAATGGTCGGATTAGTGGTAGCAGCAGTAGGAGCAACGCAGCCGAGGTAGTAATAGCATTGGAGATGTAGTAGGAGTACATAGGAAGTAGGAAGAAGAGGAGTAAGAGGAGGAGCAGGAGGAGGAGTAAGAATAGTAGGAGCTCCAGGCATCACAGTAGCCGCAGCAGCAGAAATTGCATTAGGCGTCGTGCCTGGCAGAAAGAGTTGGAGCAGGAATAGGCGTAGGAGCGAAAGGCTAAAGCAATGGCATGCTGATGATCTGAATGGTAGTCCGAAGCCGATATCTAGCTCCGTGCTCGACTTCACAAGCCAGTGGGGTCACTGTTTGCTTTCGTGTGGCTGCAATGGTGACGGCCGGCTACTTGATGTTTCAGAACCCTGAGGGCCTCGGCCTCAGCCACCTCCCAAAGTGCTGAGCTCCTGGATGACGTAGTCTTGAGTTCAGGAGATGTCTTCCATTTTGGAGGGTCGACTGGTGTTTTGCCTCCTACCCGACGTACCTGCACTGGCTCCTCACGAAAATTTCTGAACTACAAGAACCTGGACCCAGCGAACACTCCAAAGCTACACCCACCTGTCCACAACTCCTAACCTGCGGCCCTGCCGGACAGGTGAGCCAAGAGAAGGCGGTCATCAGAAAGGCGTGGTAGTAGTTTGCGAAGAGCAACAGCAACAAGAACTATGAATGTATATTTACATAGTCTTGGAAATCAGTAGCCAGGTAACATGTGTTACTGGTAGTGACACCAAGGACCAGCGTACTAAACAGTTAGTGATCTGTTTGCATAACAAGACATGACACGGAACTTGTGCTGACATGCGGCAGAGGGTTAAGTCGGTGGCTATGAAGTAGGGATCTCGAACATCGCATCAACACTCATGCCCAGAAAGCTCCCCGAAATACTGGCCGCCACTCGTGGACAGATGAGCTAGCATGCGCAATGCGAGTACTTAGCGATGTTGGAGGAAGTCAACAGAGCTGTCGATAGTGTTCATCGCGATCGATGCATTTCGAGTATGTTTTCCTCAATTTTGATGTAACAAGCTTTCCGCCTTCATCAAGCATAAACCTCAGAGCCCAGTGCGGATGACGACACGAGGGAATGAATGTTCCATCTGCGCCAGGTTTTTCGAAATCCGTTTGACAAAGGGTCAGCACTGAAGCGGGGTGCTCAGCTACAGGGTAGTGGCGACGCTTATTTAGGGACTTGATTTTTGGTGTTTATAATCCCCATTATACTAGTGTCACTATGCTTATCAATTGGCTTTAAAGTCGTGCCCAGTTTATCATACACTAACGGTTATAAACGATTCGACGAAGGATTTTTCGAGGACGGCGCATGCACGGTGCCCAAAGCTTGGCACTGCCCTGTCCAGATTGCAACTGCGATGTATCTATCCCGCAAAGTGTTGCGCAGCCACCTCCTCCACCATACCGTCGAATGCTACTGGATCCAAGTTCTGGAAAACCTTCGAAATTAGCACGATGAGCCGCCAGTTTGCCTAGCACGAGCAGCATGTCAATTCCTGAAAAATACATGCCACCGGACCGGTCGTCATGGCTGTAGCTCTTCACAACGTCATCCAAGCTTTCTTTGCATTGCACATAAGGGTTTACAACGGAAAGCTCATCCTCCAAGAGTGTTCTCTTCTAGAACTACCAGAGCTGCGTGTTGGGTTGGAGGACATTACCCTTTGAGAGTAGAGCACTGCGTCAGGAGATTTCTATCCCCGTCATTCTGAGGAATTGCCTGGACTTCTGGTGGTATCGGCGGCGATCCGCCATGAACCTGGGACTAAGAGAGATTGAGCTTTGAGCACAGCCGTTGCTGTGCCCAATTCTGGGAGAATCTCTGAGCTGAAGATAAAGGGCAGCAGAGCAGCGCTGCAGGCATCCCTTAGTGTCCTGCTCAAGCCCTGAACACGAAACCCAAAGTAGATAGGACATTTTGAGAGCCCGCCTGCAACTGTCTCCGGAGCATGCGGACTCGGAGCAGATGTTGCAGTAGACCTGGCGAGGGATTGATTACAAAAAGGCAAAGGTGTACTGAGACTTCGCATTGTACACCGTGGTTGCAGTGAATGCACACCTGTTTGCGGACGCGGACGACATTGCTTCGCATGCTGTGAACCTACGGTCGTTTGCAGCCTGCCACATGTTTCAGTCATGCAGTCGTATGCTCGCCTTACTTCGTCTCGCTGCCTCGACTGACCAACGCGTGTTCTGTCGACCCGCGCTTCGCCCCATGGCTCCAAAAGAACCAGCTATCTCTCTCGTTCTCATAGATTTAAGCAGCGAGTGGTTGAGGTACTGTTCATGTGGTGTTGGCTGACAAGACCTTGCTTTGGTAGCTATGGCCCAGGGAGATATGGATAATACAGGGGTCTAAATAATTACCTATTTTATTTTGGGGGTTCCTTATTATACTTATAGTATAACGGGCACCAAAACCTGATTCTAATTATCAGGGCCCCTATATTACCTTCTTGAGCCATTAAGCATCACTCCGCCCCTCCTGTCAGCCTTGCGAGCTCCTGGGCGCCATGGCTATGCGTGCATCAACAACATCGGGGGTAAAACCAGGCACGTGACTCTCGAATGAAAACAGGGCAGCAATGTTTGGTTAGGTGGCTTTCTTGTGCCGCTGAGGCCTCAGTCTGCTTCGTAAGCCCGGGCACCCGAGCTTCAAGAATTTCCGACTTTCACCGACAGTTCTTACACCGAGTACTGCACATTATTGTAAGTATAGTCTAATACACCCCAAATCCCCATTCCAAATACTAAGGCCCCTCTCTTTAGCTGGGCAGTGTAGCAGAGTGTTTCTCGAAGGCTTCTCTGACCGCGTCTCCCGGCGTTCGGTGAAGCCACGAGCCTCGTTTTCAGCCGGAGCCTTTGCTTGTAATCTAGGGGCCATAATAATTACTAATTAGAATAGGGTTTTGGTTTTGGGGCCCATTGTACTATACTTCTAATAGGGAACTCCCAAATAGCATTGGTAATTACATTGGCCCCTGCACTTCGTGTGTGCTCCAGTATGGCAAGAGGGTGAGCCTCAGTGTCTAAGACTGCCGGTGTTTGGGATGCTCAGGTATGGCATACACTCCGTTAAACTGTAGAACACTTGCAAAAAGCTTCGAAGCATCTTCTCTTGGATTGCGGGCTTCAGCTGGAGATGGACCGTTCGTAGCCACATTGTAGCCGAAGGTAAGACCGGAAACGATACATCAAGACAGTGCAGCGTTCGATTTCGCATCCCTGGGCAGACATGCGCAGACTGGATTGGGTTGTCCCGCTCTGCACGGCAGAGCCTAGTGGACGTACTGTCTGACATTCGGATACACCGTAGCATGTTTCGCAAACATAACAAGCAACCCACAGCAAGCTCTAGACTCCTTCCCCCTGGAGCATGTGCAAACGAGGGCGCAGCGAACGCCCTGATTCGAAATGATGTCGGGCACATAAATGTACATAACATAGAGTACATACACACATACAAATACATAAATAGAATATGAATATATATATATATATATATATATATATATATATGTTTTTATATTTGTATTTATCGTCTTGTTTATTCAGAAGCGTGTTGAATTCAGTGTCGACTGTTGTTAATTCAACTGGTTTTTGGTTACGACGAGGCTACAGGCCATAGATTTCTTTGCCGAGGGGGTCTTCGGAAGTACTGAGTACTCGGGCTTCCGTCTTGAAGGTGGTCTGCGGTCGATCCGTCGGGAGTGTTTGAGCAGGTGGTTGCAGGTCATTGGAAGGCTTTGTTTCGCTGCACTCAGACTTGCTATGTCTGCGTGAAATCGCAGCCCGTCCAGGTGGATGCAGTTGTCCAAGATCGATTTCGGAAGATGGTGCGATTCAAGCGTGTGCCCTGTGATTTCTGCATCTGGAGCCTTGCGCCTTTGACAGGCCTGCTGATGCATGAACCCGAAGCCGCAACATGCTCACGACATACCTCGAGTAAGATTGAAGCTGTTGACGGCCCGGTCCCCGAGCCTCAAACTTGGATCTTAATAAAACATACATACACAGGATACATGCAAACCCACACACGCCCACACGCAAACGCCACCAAACAGCAAGCAAGCAAGCAAACACACGTATATGCGTGCATGAATGCATTTACATCTGGGGATCTCAACGTCCACGTACTGCACAAGCAGTTGAAACTCAAG